TCCATAGATGTGTAAATGGCTGATCATTTTTCATTCGCGTAGTACGCTCTTCCCTTTGGGGGGGGGGGGGGGGTACTGTCGTGAAATGATAGTCATTACACATCGGTTTGTAAGGCTGATAACCTGTCTTACCTGTAATCTGCACAAAATTCAAACTTGGACTCGCCCAGAAATATATAGTCCCTTATATCTATATATATAGGCCTGTATTGGACAACATTATTATGTCTGCCTTTTCTGGTTACTTTAACTAAACTCCACTTTTAAATGTATTTCTTTTGGGGATATATTTAGGGAGTTAATTGAGGTTTCTTAGAAACCGATTTACTCCTTGCCCCAGTATACAAGGAACTTCTTTTGTACCAACGCCTGAAATGTCTAACTGACGCCATTCTCCTTGCCAGCTTCTCAAGCCTCCAGATGTGTTAATCTGTGCCTGTATACTTTAAATTTTCAAGGCAATCTGGAAAGATCTCAGTTTTACATATGCTTGGGATGTATATTTTCTGAAGAGCTGGCAGAAGATTCACAGTCTCAACAACATCCACTCACCAACATCCTACCACCAGAACCAACTTGTTACCCACCAGCTAACACCTGTGAAGGTTCCTGACATCTCCAAAAATGGGGGAGATTGTGCCTCAAACAGCTACCAGTGCCAGAGTAATGTGGCTCTAAGACATTGTGTGTCCTTACTGGTGATATAGACATGCTAGATACCAGTACAGTTGCTGTACAGTGAAGTACTCTTGCTACTTGATCCAGTGGAGCAGAATTCCCAGAGTCAAAGACAGTCAAATCATCCGGAGCTGAGGGAGGCATCATAGACAGAGATAAGAGAAGATAAGTCTAATGCTTCGCATGATGTTGTGTTCCTCACAGCTTCCTGTGTCCAGTGATGAGAAGATGTCCCCTCCAGGACCGGCTGTCTGCCTAGTTTCCTTAGGATTTAGACATTAGTGCTGAAATTCTTTCACTGATAGCTGGAATTCACTTCAATTGTTTTTGTACAGATATTATACTAAATACATGCATTCATTTTCATGGCTGACTTAGGTTTCTCTATGTCACCTTCTTAAGTGTTTAGCAGTTGTATGTGTATGTATCTTCATTATATGTGTTAACATGGTTTTGATAATGAACTATCATAACCTGGGGGCTTTCTTTAGTAAGTAGTGGGGGTGTCCAGCCAAGTGTGCCTAGAAATATATATATATATATATATTGACATATTTTGTAGTGCCAATACTTGAGTTGCCCTACTCCAGAGATAAGTTGATCGTATATTGGCCACGGGACTCAACAAAAATCCCTTAGAAACCAATACGAGCCAAACGACTCAACAAAATTATCTGCTGAGTGCTAGCAGAAACGCCTGGCTTCAGATCACACATTTTCGCAGCTCTATCAAAATGAAGGAGATGAATTTTTGGGGCACATTGTTACAGGGAAGACCTGGATTTCTGACACAAACATCGAATCCAGGCAACAGTCGACCCAATGGCGACACTGATAGTCCCCGAAAGCAAAGAAGTTTAAGCACGCACCTTGTGGACAAAAAAAAAAGGGGGGGGGGGGGTATTATTTATTAATTTTCTTGAATGTGGAAAGACATTTAATACCAACACTTATTGTGACCCTCTGATAAAACTTAGACGTGCCTGCCCCCCTTCCCACACACCCCCCCCCTCCCTCGCCCCAAAAAAGACGTAGATTGTTGTCCTCTTGAATTGTGCTTTTACACGTCTATGTATGTTCGACCTCACGTTGCAGATGGAACTGTTTAATTGAGGCAAAAAATGTCACTGGGAAATAATTGACCACCCGCCCTACGGCCCCAATCTGGCGCCAAGTGATTACTAATGTTTTATTCACTTAAAGAAGTGGCTTTGAAAACGGTTTTAAACTGATGAACTGCAGTCAGGCGTTCATAAATGGTTCAAGACACCGGAGACAGACTTCAATGACATTGAAATTAGGAAACTGGTGCCAAAAATGTGTTGAAGTCAATGGTGACTGTTGAGAAAAAAATGTCGTACCGGTACTTGAAAAACGCCTGGCTTTCTTTTCCAGGGAGGCAAGTACAGCCTTGACTTTGGCAATGTCCCATCTCTGCCTGACAGCTGTGTAACCAACAGTGTTCATACAACTATGCCGGGTTTGTAAAACGGATGCACATGCAGACAAAGCCAGAGTGAAGGAACAGCCAGAACTTTTTGCTGGAGTGTACAGTCGGTGAACGCAAAGAATAAGAAGAGGGATGTCATTGTAAGAATTCTTCATAGTTCTGTGTCATGGCGATCGGTTAACTTTTATGACGAAAAGGTGTCAGACCAAACCAAATGAAGAACCAGTCAGCTTCACAAACGCAACAATTGAACCTTCTTCTTCTTCTTCTTCTTCTTCTTCTTCTTCTTCTTCTTCTTCTTCAGCGTTCCGAGCCCTTGAGGTTCATTGCAGCAGATATCACCCGCCTCCATTCATCTCTCTGGTTGGCCCTCTGTTTCCAGTTGGTGACACCAAGTGTTTGCAGGTCTGTCTAGATATTCACAATCTTCTTAGTCTGCCTCGTGGCCTACGACCATTCATCTCCCTGGTGTATACAGTTGAACGTTGCAACAATGAATAAAAATGTAGCTTTTCTTCCTGAATCCGGGCGGGAACCCGGAGCACAAGGAGTTCATCATCAGGTCGTCGCGAAGTCAGGTTTAGCCAACAACGCTAGCGAGCTGGGCGACTTATTTGTATACACTATTGGTTCCTTACCTCTCAGGCGTAAGCACTCTGACCTCACGTGAAGTACCCAGTTACACGACATGCTTGTTGGGCAGACAGTGGGTAGACATAACGTCTTAAAGTCAGCATCTGCTACAAGAGGCACCTCTCTCCCACCCTTTCTCTTGTAGAGACAAAAACAAACATTGTCAGTATGTCTTTCCTGTTTCATTTTAAACTGCCACACGCTAATAGAACCAGCTTCTGTCTTTCGCGTTTTGTTGTCTGCTTATTCACACAATCGGAAGTGAAAGAATGAAAGTTACAGCTAAAAAGACTTGTTGGCTCACATAAACTAACTGTTATTAGAAGTAAGTGTGTGTGTGTATGTGTGTGTATGTGTGTGTGTATGTGGGTGGGTGGGTTTTCGGAGGGAGGGTGGGTGTGTGTGTGTTTGTGGGTTTTGCGATGGTGTGTGTGTGGGTGGGTGGGTGGGAGGGTGAGTGGGTGTGTGTGTATGTGTGGGTTTTGGGATGGTGTGTGTGTGGGGGGGGGGGGTCGGTTTGGGTGTGTGTGTGTGTGTGGTTAGGTAGGTGGGTTTTGGGAGGGTGGGTGGGTCGGTTTGGGTGTGTGGTTTTGGGTGTGTGTGTGTGTGCTGAAGAGACTTTTACAGCGACAAAATTCATTCTTCCTCATGCGATCCTCTAAAGATGATCCCTTATAGTTTTAGTTTTGTGGGCTGACATTTTGTAATTTTATCTCGTTACTGCAGTCCAAGCAGTTTCATTTCCTGTTCTACTTAAGTTAACCTTGCTTCTAAAATCCGACCACCTCTCCCCCCCCCCCACGTTCAGCCCTCTCCTCGCATTCCCTCCTCCCCCACCCCCAAGCTTTATGTTATCAAGTGACACGGTGCCAAAATGAAATCCACAGACATGTTTATTGGAAAAGCCATTGTTCGCGAGTCTGATAACATGTATATATGACATGCAGACCCAGCTTGGATCAGAAACTGGCGTATACAATCGATCTTGGGAAATTTTTTTAATTGGCAGCTAGTGCGGACGTGTACCCGGGTCAAGTTTCTGAGATATCTATGAAATATATGAAACACGGGTAAGCCTTTTGTATATTGTAGTTTTGTTTGAAAGAATGTCATTGGTAATTGATGAATAGGTTGATTGATTTATTGATAGGTTGGTGGAATGAGATGTAAGATCGTTTTAAGTGTGTGGGAGTGTGTGGGAGTGTGTGTGTGTGTGTGTGTGAGTGTATGTGTGTGTGTGAGTGTATGCGTTTGTGAGTGTATATGTGTGCTGTTTAGTTCTCCCCTAGGGTCACCATAGTATCTTGAGCCGAAAACGGGACATCCCACTAAAATTTTGAGCTAAATACGGGATAAGCGAATCAGCTCATTTTTTCAGGTCACCGAGGTGAATGGGTAAATTACTCGTTCGTCAGTGGTATTAAAACGCCGAATCATTGCCGCCAAGAAATAAATGAAACAATATTCTCTTTAATTTAATGAAAAAAAAAAAAAAAAAAAAACTTGCTATATTGAAAATTCTCTTCAATGCATTTCAGGTATTAAAAGTATTTAAACCTGTGAACTCTATCTAATAAGCTCTACAGATATAACTATAGGTGTGTGTTCTGTTCTTGAGTTTTTCCCCCTTTTGATTTTTTAAAAACAGGGCGATACACGAGATGATCAGGCACGCCCAAACCATGGGAAAGTCCCGGTGGAAATGGGAGGTATGGTCACCTTATTCCCCCCTCCCCCTTTTTTCCCTCCGTTTTGTTTCCTTTTTGCTGGACATGACATCACAATGACTCTAGAGCCACATATCTTACACAAAACTAGTAAGGAATGTCTGGATAGCCTATTTCTAGCAGTAGATTTTACCCCAACAGGACATCACACAAGCGATAAACACCCGATGACACAAAGTGCCACCATACGGATGAGGATCACCCGTGGAGAGGTCCCGGAAACCACGTTCAGCCATTAGACCATATTTATGGCCAGGCTATATTGCGGCCCCTGGCAAGAGCCAGTTAAAATTCACTCATAAGCCTATTTATTTATTTTCATCCATTTAATTAATTGTTTCTTCTGATACTTTGCCGCTTCACGAATCCCGCCTTTTGACCCTGTAATCTTCTGATACCTTTGTTTAAATTGCTGCCCAAATTGCATCACTTGAAACAGGCAAACTGACATTTCCTGTACAAATATTTCCACAGGATGAATTAAATAAACACAGAATTCAAAATCTGTCAACATGACAGGGTTGTTTCCCGGCTTCTTGTTTCCCTCGTCCGGCTTGAACAGAATGTCCACGTCAGGAGGTCCAGGGGAAACTGCCACACAGACTAACAGAACGTTGGAGAGGTAGGTTGTGATAGTTAATATCAACGTCATCGTCATCGCACGATGCCCAAATGGCGCGAAAAGGGTTCTTTTGTGAAAACTATGACCATTGGTGTGCATGAATGGAAATCAGTTGGGAATAGAAGTACACCAAACTCGTACAAGAAATACTGCCAACCATAGTAAAATCTATTCTCTCGAAGGTGTCTCCTCCGTGCCACAATGGGGCGAGCTAGATAACCTTAAGGATCCCTAGAACTTGTAGAAATGTAATACAATAAACAACTCCTAGCTTGTGATATCCTGTTTGTGCTGTCGATAACGGCGGAATCAATATTGGATGATTCAGCACCTGATTTAAGTCCCTCTAGATCCCCTAACTTAAAATTACCAGGAGAGCAGGTTACTCTGTAACCGTTACGTGCTTCAGTATAATTGATCTATGTAGTTGAACGGGATTTGTGATATTTATTTCTTTAGGATTCGCGTCCGTCGTGTGGCCTTTTGACTTACCGGGTGTCTGCTTCATCTGCTTCCTGTTCTTCTTAGCCTTCGCTGGATGTGTCCTGACCCGAGTGTCGATTCTTAATTCAACATTCATTCAACATTCAGCGTTCGCCTGATGTAATCTTGAGTTTTGTATGCACATCCGTCTTACAGACCTGACGTTTTAGTAAGCAAACTGTTGGTTCCTCTCCTCGCAGGCAAATGCACTCCAAATACGAAGGAAACACCCCTAATAAATCCGCCTTTACGACATGTTTTCTGAGGAAAAAAAAGGGGGGGGGGGCAAGAGAACAAAAACACATTGTTTGCCCCTCTCTCTGTTTTTCTCTCTTTCTGTATTTCTCTCTATTTATCTCTGTGTGCGCGCGCGCATATGTGCTGACACGTTTGTGTGTGTGTGTTTCACTGACTCTTTCTCAATGCGCTTCTCTCTCTCTGACTCTCCATTTGTAAGGTGACGGTGACAGTCTCACGCCAACCTCCCCGTCGCCTCTTAGGACACGCATTGAGATTCTAGTCTGTACTATTATTGCCTCTTGTGTCGGCCCAGCAACATCCATCCCATAATTTGGGTATAATTTTTCTCAATAAAAGTCCTTATCGTCATCGTCGTTTTCCCATTCGACAAGCAGGCAAGTTTCGTCATCTCACACGATAACCATAGTCAAGGATTAGCTCAGTGCTCTGTTATCGCCTCCCCAGCCCAACAAACCCATCCAGGTATCTGTATCTTTTCTTTCCTCTTGAAAACACTTTTAAGAAATAATAAACGCATAAATACTGAAAGTAGCATAATCTTGTCATAAATTTGGCATTCAAAATATTTGTAATTTTATCTCTGTTCAAATTGCACACAAGAATACATCAGGATTCAACAAATCAATTAACAGTGTTTTTTTTTTTTTTTTTTGGCATCTGCATCATCGTTAGTTTTTGGGCGTACGGACTTTGCCGTCAACTAATAAAAAAGCGCCATTGGAAATTTGTTTAAACAGTTTAGCAATACGAATGTAATAAAACGTTAGACATGAAAAAGTAGCGATACTTTGGGCCTTGTTTCAGATCTACAGTCAATGGTCGTCCCAGACCCAAGAGCAGCCCAATGTCTGGCGTGTATGACGTCAGAAACTCCAGCACTGGTCTCATCGTCCTCAATAACAAACTAGCCAGAGTAAGCTGTTAGTTGTTTGCCTTCCAGAAGTTTGCTTTTTGTTACTAGACAGTTGTTTCGGGTATTTTCTTATTAGCCAACCATAAACAGGGGAAATCCACAGGTCACGGGACGTCAAATATTTTAGGTGGTGGTGGATTTAGCGTATAGTTTTGTTTAGCTTAGGGTTAGGGTTAGAGTTAGGTAAACCCGCGAAACCTCGGCCTTGGAAGAAACGCGCTAAAGAACAGAAACCAGGGACAACCTAGTAAAACAACCCTCTAAAATACTGGACTGTCCCGTGACGCCATTTTTGGTCGGCTGAAAAGAAAGCACATGTTTTCGTTTCCAGTGGATTTTTTTCTTGTTACTAGAAAGTTTATTTTATTTCCAGTTATTTGTTTTCGTTTCCAGTTGTTTTTATTTCCAGTAGTTTGTCTCCGTTTTCATGCGGTTATTTTAATTTCCAGTAGTTTGTCTGCGTTTCCAGGTATTTATTTTAATTTGCAGTAGTTTGTCTGCGTTTCCAGGTATTTATTTTCATTTGCGGTAGTTTGGTTTCATTTCCAGGAAATTATTTTCATTTCCAGTAGTTTGTTTCCGCTTTGTTATTATATGATCTATGGATAAAATCCGATGGAAGATGTACCACTGAGATAAAGAATAGAATAGGACAGGTGAAAATTCATTTCACAAAATGAGAATATTTTATGCAAAAAGTCCATAGGAAAAGAATTCTCGCATGTCATACTGAGCCTGGACAATTAATAAACAAGCCGAACAATATGTGAGGCTTCGCAGAAGTGGTTTTACAGAAGAATCCTTAGCATTTCTCGGACAGCTAAGAAGAGCAACCCAGATGTTTTGAAAGAGGCGAATTCTCAAAGACACAACTTATCACAAACATCAGAAGGAGACAACCATCGTTTTTTGGGTCATGTTATGAGAAGAGGGAAAATGGAAGATGTTGTGATGACTGGAAAGATCTGCGGAAAGAGAGACAGAGGAAGACAACGTGAAACTATTCTTGACACCCCCGTGTAGGTTCCGGGGCCCTATTATAGGGAAAACAAGAAAAGACTCACTGCCTGCCCAAAAGCATGTCGTAAGAGTCGACTAACTGGGAGCTCCCTTCGAAGTCGGAGTGCATCTTCCTGATAAGCAAAGAACCAACAGTCTACATTCAAATGAGTCAGATCTGTCAAACGGATGCACGCGCAGCACTCAGGTTCTGGAACAGGACTGCAGTTCAGAAGTGGATGAACAACCAGAACTTTCCACATGAGTTTACAGCTTGTGAACGCAAAGAAGAAAGAAAAAGAATTCTTGACAGTGTTTTGTCATGGCATGAAGGGGTGTCAACGCACGAACTGATACACACAGGAGATTGTGGAGAGAAGTGATCGCCCACACCAGTCCCAAGGCACTTGATGAATAAATAGGTACATTAAAAACCACGTTAAGGAGTTATATTACTTTAGTGACGCAAGCGGCTTAGGGTGAAAATTCCATATTTTTATTTACCAATTATCGCTCGATGTACGATCTGGTCAATACACCAACCACATTTATTTCCCATAACATTTCCTGGTACTCATTTTTAGGCTTGTTTCGCTGACATGGCAGTGAAATTTGGACAAGACAAAGAACGACGTTTAAATACATTTAAAAGCAATTTCCTGTGGAAAATATTCAATACAAAATGAGAGGAATTCAAGAGGGGATGAAGAAATCAGAGCAAGGACTGGACCACCAGTAACACCAGTTATAAGACAAAGAAGACAACGCTATATTGGACACATCTTGAGAAGAGACCAACAGAGAATCACCAAACAGACACTGAAATGGGGAAAAAAATACAGCGATGAAGCGAGGACATCCACAAGAACGTACATCCAAAAGAACGGACATTCAAAAGAACGGACATCCAAAAGAACGGACATCCAGAAGAACGGACATACAAAAGAACGGACATTTAAAAAAAAACGGACATCCAAAAGAACGTTACTGAGAGAGACCAAAGCTGATGGACTGAGTTTCATCCATGATATCGCCGGGATAGAACGGAATGCTGGTAAAGACTGGGAGCCTATATGACATATAATGGCACAACATGATGGTGATGATGATAAAGACGATCCAGGCGACCAAGTCGAGGGGCAAGCTTGCTATCCCCTGTACGTGTTGGTCATATGGCGCTTGGTCCATGTTTTTTTACTGACTAATCGGCACTAGATGATGGGCTGTGTGAGCTCTCTGTGGCGAAGTGGTCGAACCGCGTGCCTCGCCCTCTGTTGTTCATAGGTTTTTTCACAGCTGCGTCGTTCTGTTAACAAGGGGGTCGTTGCCAGAGCTACAATGTTCGTGCTTTGTGTGACGTTCTCGACAGGTTGCAATCCGTTTTATAGAGAGAGGCTGAGCCAAAAGGGATAAAACCCGGTGCAATGAAGCTAATCCTCTCGACTCCAGTCTTCTTAAGATTGTGTGTGAATAATCTTTAGCTGCCGTTAATGGAGTTAATTGTCGCTATATTTATCAGAAACCCACAGGCTCAAGATTGTGTGGACAGGCGGACATCACTTGGCGAATCGTGTAAGTTTTGTGAATGTTTGCAAACTTTATGGCCACCCGCCATTTTAGTGTGATCAATAACACACCGCGGGCTCAACAGAAAATCAGTTCCATTGGAAATCCACAGCTCAAGATTCCAATGGTACCAGTAAATGTCTGACTACATCCGAGACTTACGGTCCAGACTTACGGTAGCAAAACCTGGATGGAAAAAATAAAAACTTAGCTGGAAACAAACAAACATTTCAGAGCGTCAGCGGTCGGGCGACTGTCGGCCATTTCTGGGGGCTGTGAATGTTTGAGTTGAGTTGAGTTTAGTTGATTCAAGGACCGACATCACAGCGCTCGGGACATTCTCATAAGCGCTCCGTCCCCAATTTCAGCAGCCAGTGAAGAGTTCTGAGACTAATGGTGCCAGTAGCATTCCAATTAAACCTCCGTCTGGCCTTTCCTCTGAGCCTCGAGCATCTGCCAGAACCTCTCGTCACTCCCTCCTGCATCAATCTCACTAGACTGTGGTGATCCATCTGCTCCTCCGAACTGTACACGCTCTCCCAAAAGGCACTAACCACGTCTGCCTCATCATGCATCAGTATTCCACCAAGTTGTGCAGAGCCAGCTAGTCTGTCCGCTGTTCATTTCCCAACATACCGGCTTGTCCCGATGAAAATATCCAGACAATACTCCTTACCCGTGTCCTCCGCAGTGAAGCATGCCACTCTGCACGAAGCATGCCTGTCCTTACCTTCCACATCATGTTTTATGAGTCAGTTGCATTCATGATGTGTGTGTGTGTGTGTGTGTGTGTCGTATTCTCTAACCAGAGGAAAGCTGCAGTGACCGCCTCCACCTCCATTCTTAAGCTGGATGTTGTGGTATCATATGCTAGGCTCTCCTGCACCAAACGTCGACCATTAACTTTTGCTAAGAAACCCCAAGCACTTCGTTTGCCTCTTGACGCTGAACCGTCTGTGTAAACAATTTGTGTGAAAGTTTGCGAGTTAGTAAGTGCTATAAGGATGTCAGATTTGCAGATCTCTCTCATTTGATACTTTGATGACAGCTTGTATGATTTATGTTATTATTCGTTGTCCACTTGTTTACTTTTCACATATATCTTTCTCTGTCGTCCTCTGTTTGTTTTGCTTAAGATTTTTCACAAATAGGGCTCATTTTACTATCTCATCTCTTCTGATTGTCTGGACAGATTGGCTGGCTCTGCACAACTTAGTGGGACATTGATGCCTGATAAGGCAGACGTGAATAGGGCCATATAGGATCACGTGTACAATCTGCAACAGTGAATGGATTGTCACAGTTTAGTGAGATTGATGCAGTGGGGAGTGACGAGGGGGTTCTAGCCGATACGCAAGGTTTAGAGGAAAAGGCAGACTTACACAATTGAGTGCCTCTGGCACAATTATTATTGGAACTCTGCGTTGGCTACTGAACATAGGGACGGGAATTTTATGGGTGCAGTGATGTCAGATCTTGAATCAGATCAAATCTCTCCTGATGATAAGAATTCAGTCAATTAATCAGGTGCATTTGCCCAAAGAATGTTGACTGAAACAGATCTCCAACACACTCGCTCTTTCGTCATGGATGTACGTTCTGTCACCCTGCTGTTTGTTCATCTCTTAATATTATCCTACCACTTGTATCGTGGCCTACCTTTTGCTCTCTTATCTTCAACTTTTCCCTCAAGAATTGTTTTTAAAAGCGTTTTATGTATTTTAATATATCTGAAATATTTCATGTGTCTCTTTATACTTTACTCGGCAACTCTCTTTTTATTCCTTGTCTTCTCAGAAGCCAAGTGTCTTACTATTCATGTTTCCATGAAATAACAGATAATGCTCTCAATATCTTTAGTACATATGTTTGTTATAATGACTCCATTTAAATTTCATGTTTGGATATTCCATTGTTACCCAGGAAACCAGACCCGGAAAGACATTTTCGTAAAAGTAAGTTGGATTGGTTTTTTATGTAGCTTTCTGTGTGTGCTGGGTCAGCAGGGGATGACATAATAATGAAAATAATAATAATGATAATAAAGTAGTAAATGAAGTAGTGGTAGTATTAGTGGTAGTAGAAGAAGGCTAAGGATTATTATTGTTACTATAACACTTATTACTACTACAACTAATACTAGTAGTAGCAGCAGCATCTGTGAGAACTACCATTGATGACAACATGACAATCATCGCTAGCAGCTGTATGCACAAGGCAAGTCACCTCACTGGTAATAAATAAAGCAATCATAGCATCATCATCAACATCATCATGCAACAACAATGTTAACAGTAACAATAATTTGAGCGGTAGTAACAACAGCGACAGAGGCAGTGGCAACAGAAATAAAAACACTAACTTCCACAACAATAACAACAACAACAAAATCAACAGCAGCAAGAACAAAGTCAACAAAAGAAGCAACAGTAAAACAGCATCATCCATTATAAAAGACCAGCAAATGAAATACCTAAACTAGCGACATCATTAAACAAACAAACAAACAAGTAGGAGAATTATGGGTCTGCCAAAGCAGTAAATGGCAAGCCTGTGGCAGGGTTGGCATTTATAATGTCCCGAGAGAGAATGAGAGAGAGAGAGAGAGAGAGAGAGTGTGTGAGAGAGACATACAGAGAGAGAAAGAGAGAGAGACATACAGAGAGAGATAGCGAGAGAGATACAGAGAGATACAGAGAGAGAGATAGTGAGAGAGAGAGAGAGAGAGATAGCGAGAGAAAGAGAGAGAGAGAGAGAGAGAGAGAGAGAGAGAGAGAGAGAGAGAGAGAAGATGGAGAGATTTCAGGAACACCTGGCCTACATCACTGCAAAGACTGTCAGAACTGGGAGTAAAGGTCAGCACAACCCAGCACCAGAAGCTCACTGGATGTACGAGAAGTCATCTCAGCAAACATACCATCGATCAGTCAGGTGCCATCTCCACACTGAAGGGTGGCTACAATGGATCTCCAACACTCCCTGTCTCTTGGCTTGGTTGTACACTCTTTCAGACTGCTGCTAATCGTCTCTTGATGTTGTTCTCCCACTTGTATCGTTGTCTACCTCTTGCTGTCTTGCCCTTGGACCCCCCGCCCTTCCCAGTATGTTTTAAAAACAGTTTTACTTCTTTTAATATGGCCAAAATATTGCAAATGCCATGTCTAAAAAATTTCTTAGAATAATTCTCTTTTGATCCTAGTCTTTCCAGAATGTTTTCATTTGATTATTTTTGTCAGCACAGTACGCGTTATTAGCCGCCGGACTCTGAAGGGTATGGTAAATGAAGGATCCGGGCACCTCTGGACGTGTCTGGGATCACTTGAAGATATCCTAACTCATAGTTTAGCAGAGTTGCCCAAATAAAAGTAGCTGTAACAACAGTAATAATAATAATAATAATAATAATAATAATAATAATAATAATAATAATAATAATAACAATAATAATTGCAGCATCAAAACTTTCACTGACCCATATTTGATTTGTTTTTTCACGCAGATGTTTCACGTGATTACCCCGTACATGACGGCAAAAATCCCAGTAATGATGACATCACAGGGAGACGACATTCTTATATCACCAACAACTTCAGGCAAAACCAACCTGGCACATCAAACTGGGTAGATTCTGAAGTTTCCCAAGAACTAAGGGACCATGTAAACAGTATCTTGGACACCATCACCGAAGATGATATCATGCGGATGTATCGGCGGCAGTGGAAAGGATTTTACCGAAATGTGTTAAGTCAAGGTACCCGTTGTTCTGATAATATCATTTTAATCAGTTAATCGGGGGGGGGGGGGGGGGGGGGGGGGGGGGGGGGGGGGGGGGGGGGGGGGGGGGGGGGGGGGGAGGTCACGCCATTATTGCTCCGTTCCTATGCCAGCAAAGTCAATTGCAAACACGCACGTTAAATGCTAAAGCAGATGTCAGAAGTGCCAACACAAGCACTCCGCCAGGAGAATTGCAGTTCATCATCGATTAAAGCAACGGTTACAAACAATTAGCAGTTGAACACACAATATTGTATAAAACACCGCCAGTTCTGTGGCAACATTTTACGACGATGCTAGCTTCTTCAGGATATCTCTGGTTTGTGCATAATCAACAAAAGCATGCTCTTCTTCGAATTCCGAGTTGTTCTGTTTCATTGCTGCAGATATCACTCGCCTACATCTATCCCTGTGATAAGCCTGCTCCATCCATTTGGTGATTTCAAGCATTTGTAGGTCTGTCCGTGTTCTATCTCTCCACGTCTTCCTGTCTGCCCATGTTCTATCTCTCCACGTCTTCTTGTCTGCCCATGTACTCTCTCTCCACGTCTTCTTGTCTGTCCATGTTCTTTCTCTCCACGTCGTCTTGTCTGCCCATGTTCTATCTCTCCACGTCGTCTTGTCTGTCCATGTTCTATCTCTCCACGTCGTCTTGTCTCTCCATGTACTCTCTCTCCACGTCTTCTTGTCTGTCCATGTTCTTTCTCTCCACGTCTTCTTGTCTGCCCATGTTCTATCTCTCCACGTCTTCTTGTCTGCCCATGTTCTATCTCTCCACGTCTTCTTGTCTGCCCATGTTCTATCTCTCCACGTCGTCTTGTCTGCCCATGTTCTATCTCTCCACGTCGTCTTGTCTGCCCATGTTCTATCTCTCCACGTCGTCTTGTCTGCCCATGTTCTATCTCTCCACGTCTTCTTGTCTGCCCATGTTCTATCTCTCCACGTCGTCTTGTCTGCCCATGTTCTATCTCTCCACGTCGTCTTGTCTGCCCATGTTCTATCTCTCCACGTCGTCTTGTCTGCCCATGTTCTATCTCTCCACGTCGTCTTGTCTGCCCATGTTCTATCTCTCCACGTCTTCTTGTCTGCCCATGTTCTATCTCTCCACGTCGTCTTGTCTGCCCATGTTCTATCTCTCCACGTCGTCTTGTCTGCCCATGTTCTATCTCTCCACGTCTTCTTGTCTGCCCATGTACTCTCTCTCCACGTCTTCTTGTCTGACCCATGATTTACTCCCATTAATCTCTTTCGTATATGCTGTATTTGTCTCTCTGTTTTCAGCCCATCTATGTATGCCCTGACAACATCATAGTCAAAACTAATAATGATTATAACAATAATACCAACATAAAGAACAGCAATATAAATAACAACAGCCCAAACAGCGACAAACAGTCATCTGTTTCTCCCCCCAGACGCATTCCGGGTCTACCGGACCAGAATGTCCTCCAGACAACACAGAGCTGTGACGTCGATTCTGGCAGACACCCGTCTATCGCCAGGGGACAGGGTTTACCTTGGCAACATTGCCGAGGCCTACAGTGTTGAAGACATCAGGCGAGGCAGACAGACGCAGTACAACCAACGTTTCTGGCATGCGGTCACTCAGGGTAACATCGTTCTTCTCTTCCTGGTATAGCTCTTCTCTTTCTAACATCACTATTCTCATCCGAGTATTCCTCTTTTCAGTCTGCCATCACCCTTCTCGTCCTATCATCGATCCTCTCTTTACCAACGTCACTTTTCTCATCATAATACCCATCTTTTCCTCATAACACTTCTCTTCTCACCATGCCACCAATCTTCTCCTCATAACACCCCTCTTCTCACCATGCCACCAATCTTCTCCTCATAAGATCCATCCTCTCATTCAAACACCGTTCTTATCATATCTAGGGCTTTATCGAATAGTGATTTTCACTATTCGGCCGAATACGAATAGCTGGACCAACTATTCGGCTGAATACGAATACGAATAATGAATCATCATCATCAGATGCTTTGCCGACTGGCATTGGCGATTATGCCTCGCCACAATCTGCGATCTCCTGCAGCATGTATTAGTTCGTTTGCTGACTCACCTCCATGCCATGCAACAAGACTGACAAGCATCTTCGCTCGTTGTCTTCCTCTATCCCTCCTTCCACATATCTTTCCAGTGGTCACCACATATTCCATTTCCCCTCATCTTATAATGAAAAATGATGACTGTCTCCTTCTGATGTCTGTGAGTAGTTGCCTTCGGGCTTCCACCTCAAAACCTCTTGTTTGGTTGGTTGTGTGTGTGGTGTGTGTGGTGTGTGTGTGTGTGTGTGCGTGTGCGCGTGCGTGTGTGTGTGCGTGTGTGTGTGCGTGCGCGTGCGTGTGTGCGTCCATCCGTGTGTGCGTGTGCGCGCGCGTGCGCGTGCGTGCGTGTGCGTGCGTGTGTGTGTGTGTATGTGTGTCGCCAAGGTATTTTATGTTTTTTTCTGTAAAACCACATCTCTGTAACCTCAAGAAATTGTTTAGCCTGCCTACCAATTGTCCAGGACTTACAGCCATATGTTAAAACTGGATGTATGAAGCAAGCAAGAATTCTTTTTCTAACCTTCAATGACAAAGATATATTGCATAAGATTTCTTCGTTTTATAAAATGCAGTTTTTGCCTGTCCTATTCTGTTTCTTATTTCAGTAGTGCATCTTCCATCTGATGTTATCCATGTACCCAGATACTTAAATTTCTGTACTCGTTCCAAAATAAAACCATTGACTTTTATTACACATTTAGAAATAATTATTTTCTTTGATACCAACATTACCTCTGTCTTCCCATTATTCAAACTGAGGCCCATTCTTCCACTTTCTTGTATAAAATAGATCTTAAAAAAAAATTTTTTTTAAACCCATAATGTTAAATGTAGGCTGAAATTTTACTTCACAAAATGTAGTACAGAATAGTAAACATTTAAAAACATTTCATGATTTGCATCCTTCAGTCAGTCAGTCTGTGGTAACTAATACCCAGGAATGAAAGTATTCCTAGTTTAATAACAAGTAACTAAACTTGTAAACTGTCACTGACAGCCTCATTAATCCATGAAAGCGGCATTAGCCCCCCCCCCCCACCCCCTCCCCCCCCCCCCCCAAAAAAAATCGTTCCATGTTGTCAGCATTAAGGCAGCTTCTGGTCTCACTGAAGGTATTTCCAGCTGTACTAAATCGACGTTCACTTGGTACGCTCGTAGGTGGTGCACAAAGATAACGCTTGACAGTATGAACCAAGGTGGGAAATCTTGATATGTTTATTTTCCACCAGTCCAGAAACGGGTGTATGGTTGTAATGACCCTGCTTTGCATGGTCTCCACGAGGACATTGTGGCCAGCGGAAAGTCCGTGCTACAATGTCCTCGTGGAGACCATGCAAAGCAGGGTCATTACAATGGTAACCCCTATTCGTGTTCGGCCCGACCGCAACTATTCGGCCGAATACCGAATGGGTATTAGGTCTACTATTCGGCCCCGAAGCGAATACGAAGCGAATATTCGATACAGCCCTAATCATAACACCCATCTTCTCATTCTAACATCCATTCTTCTGTGATTGACATGTTTGTTTTGCAGTCCATTCTCTAGCTAGATGTTACAACATGCTCCAGATACACAAGCCTTGTTTTCAGTTTTACAATGCTTTGTATTGATTTCCACAAGGGCATGAGCATGGTCTATACCGAACAATAACGAACTAGTGAACGTAAATTAACTTGTCTGGTAAAACCATACAACTGCCAATTTATGCAGAATAGGTTTTACGAAGTTATGAGGGGACATGAAAATGTGTTTTATTTATAATTTCAGGTAGCTACAGTTTGCCAGATTTAGTGAAGTACGGTCAATATCTATTGAAGCCAAACACCAAACAGCAGCCGTCTTATACAGGTGCCAAACACAAGCGTGGCAAGTCTGCTCCTGCAGCAAGGCAAGCTGGAAACTCACCCACCGACGGAAATGGCCTGAGATCAAACATAGATAATGGCTTATTGGAAAGGTAGTAAAAAGTTGAAAGTTCTTTACGACGCGTTTAGGTGTCCTATGAGTCTACATGACACGCCGGACATGAGTTATGAGTTGAGTAATGAGTTAGATTATCTTCACAGCACTCCGGACACATAGGCGCTCAGATTCCTCTCTCAACATATTCATCGGCGTCGTGCGGTTAGTGCGGTTAATAGTACCAGTCCTATGTTGGTTAACAAGACTTTGTGTGCATCCAGTGTGCTTCTCATGCTTGGCTGTGCCGATCTTTACTCCCAATTCGCGTATTCTTAGAAGTTATGTGGACATGTTGCTTCCAAAATCCTCAGAACGTCCCATCTCTCTAAGGGCAATGACAATGTCTGCGTGATCCATGGGCCGGCCATCTTCAATTAATGCAGTGCCTGCCAGTCTATCAGCTCTCTCATTACCAACAACGCCTGCATACCCTGGGACGAATATAAAAGTAACTACACACACAGGAGAATTTTGCAATGACTCTGCATAACCAGCCTGCCTAGACCCGCTGGATCATACTCAAAGAATCACTCAGCACAAACACACACGGGAATAGTCCTGTGATCCCAGCCACATGAAAGCTTGTGTCACCGCCATCACCTCCATCGTCTTGCTGCTGGTGGTCATGGAGAAGGCACAACTGGCTTCCTTAACTGTTCTGCCTGAAGAGCGAGCTGTAAATGCCCATGCACTCTTATGTCCTCGTATAACGCCGGACATACCGATAGGTGCCCAGATTTCCCTCTCAGCATAGACATCCAGTGACTAATAGTGCTAGTTCAGTGCTGGTTGGCAGGGCTTCTGTGTGCTTCTCGTACCTAGCTGTGCCCGTCTTTACTACTTGCTTATAGGCCCCAGAACCTGGAAGGCACAGGTACACTGAGGCTGCCTCTCCTCAATTTTTAAGGGGGGGGGGGGAGGTAACACCCTCCCCCCAACCACGCCCAATAATGTTTAGGGAACTGAGACCCCCACTGTAGAAAATGTGCAAAAGGCTGAGTGGTTGCCTCTAATCATGTGTAGACATGCTCTTTTCAATGCATTTGTTTATAAATTTCAACATTGTTTCTCAAATATATTGTTTTATTTATTTGCCCCTCCCCCCAGCAAATTTTTTATAATAATAATTATTATTGCACACTTAAACAATGCTTAAACCTCATGAGCTCCCCTCCCCCAAGTGTCATAGCACAATTGGGAGCTTAGCGTAATATAGTGCAAGTAAAGTAAGTAAAGGACCATTTTCCACGCCATTATGCATATAGGGCTAGACGGGAGGGGAAAGGTATAATAAATCGATATATTGTCTCAATTGTCTCCCGGGGTGTCGTTAGTCAGTATTTCTAGGAGACAGAAATGTTTTTAAGGAAGGCAAATCGATATTTCTTTAGTATTATTGCTCTGGCGAACAAATCGATACTTTGCAGGCGAATTATTATCTTCAAAGCGGCGGGTGACAGTTGGCGTATGACTAAGAGATTTGGTGCGGGCTTATGGTTTCTGTAAAAAAACAAAATTAGGAGTGGTTTGTTAGCGGGAGATATATATGTTACAAAACGAAACAATTTAGGGGATATGAAAATAGACTTATAGGCGGCAGTGACGGGCGGCGAAGAGGGGCTATTTTAGGCTTAAGATAAAGAAACCTAGGAAGGCGGCTTGATGACTGCGGATATATGAGAAAGTGAGAAAGGGGAGGTCGTGCGCTATTATCATCATCAGTGTCAGGGTATCGAAGGTCCTATCTTTGTTTGTTTTCCTTTTTTGCAAGACAGGATTACAGTTAAAATAATTATAAAGTTGACAACGAATGTATCGTTTGCGTGAATGACAGCTATCGCAATAATTTATATTAACAGGGCACACAAAGGAAGAAAAAGTCAGACAGACGTCTCTTCTTCGCATTCAAAGACAACAAAAGATCACGATAAGATGATTACACAGAAAGGAAAGGAAAAAGCGAGGGACTTGTCTAGCAGACCAAGCAGTGAAAAATCGCTGTTGTCGTTAATGCTTGAGGTTGCAGAAGAGGACAACAGTTGTGGTATCAAGTAAATGGAAATTACAGATGCAGCCTTCAAGTTCCGCGTCAACTTCAGTCACACTCTGACTATTAAACATACATAAACCACTCTTTGTGTAGCTTTGTTTTGTTTGTATTCTTCTTTTTAACGTTCACCGGCTGTACACAGTTTGGTTGTTCATCCACTCGTAGACTTTGGTCTTGATCCACAAGAGTTTTGCGTGCACATCCCTTTGACAGATCAGGTTTAATTGTAGGCAAACTGTCGGTTCCTTGTCACTCAGGCAGATGCACTCCGACGTCAAAAGACACCCCTAATTAGTCCATTTTTAGGAACAAGCTTAATAGGCAGGCAGTCTCTGCCCCTCCCCCTCCACAATGGGGCCCCGGATCCCACTCGGGGAGCTGGTTAGGATTTATTTGTACCCTTAACAAAAAATAAAGTCTATAACCTTATCGGGGTCACCCGCATGAAGGCTCGGGGTTCTTACTGCACGGCTAGCACCCCCCCCCCCCTTTTCCCACCTTTTCCCTACTCCCTTTTCAATAATTTCCGACACGGTAACTGTAGCTTTAGATTTTTATGTTGTCTAGTGTGTTTTTCTATCTTTCTACTTCTTCTTTTTTTTTTTTTTTTTTTTTTTTTTTTTTTATAAACGTATCCAGAAACCATGAGTTGTAAACCCTTTGGCTAGGTACTATGGATATCGCAACCCTTCGGCATTGATTCCATTATAGGTACCGTTAATCTGGGAGAAATGTGGCTTTTCTGCCTACCCCCGGGAGTGAACCCGGACCACAAGGAGTTGGTCACCCGGCCGCCGCGAAAGTCAGGTTTAACTAACTTCGCTAGAGAGCCGGGCAGATGAGTGCCGATCAATACATTTTCTGATACTTGATTATTCTATAATTTAAAAAAAAAAACATGTCAGATTCTAATAAATTGGACAAACATGGAATAGTAATTCGTGTTTTCTTCTTCTTATTGACGTTCCCCGGTTGTAAACTCCGGATGATAGTTATGGGTGTTCGTCCACTTCTGAAATGCTTTGGATAACAAACTGTTAATTTTTATTTCCGTGGTGAAATTTTTTAAAAATCTACTTGTGTACTTATCCAGCTTACCACAAACAGCTCCACTGATCCAGCATGAGCTTACTATGATAACAAAAAGACTACAGTACAATGCTGGCCTCCACGGTCACAATAAGACAAGTCAACAAAGCCATGTTTCGTAAACGATCCAAACGTACTGGAAACAATTGTCCAAAGTCTTTACTGGCCTAGATGACGCAACTAAAAATCCGGTATTATTCCAGATGTACGCATAGTAAACCTTTAGATTTTTAAAATTAAACTCTACAGTTTAATCAGCAAGCACATCGATCGTGACTTCTGAATTCTTTTTCTCTAGTTCATGAGACAATGAGTGGTTCAAGCTTGTAGGAGTTTCGTACATTATGCGTGCAGGGGTTATTATAACCAGCCTCCCCTCTTTTTTCTCTCTCCTTAAATGGGTACCGTTCTTTGTGAAGTAAAGGCGTTCGGCATAATATTTTTCACATCACACACGAATGCTCATCTTCTTAGATAAAAGGACTTGCACCATATACTCAGTTTGAAAACGGACCCCAACTTTCCAGTATATTAGAAATGCTCAAAATGGGACATGATCGGTTAGTTCCATTGGGTTATCAGAAATAGATACAATTGTCAACTTGGTGGTGGTGGGGGAGGGGGAGGAAAACGGGGCTCCATCATCATTCCATAAAAAGATGAAGCAACAGTCCGACTGTTCGCGGGGAATAATAAAATAGCTGTTGTTGACAGTACAGCAGTGGCCATTCCGAGGGGGGGGGGGGGGGAGAGATAGACAGAGAAAGAGAGAGGAAGGAGAAAGAGAAAGACAGACAGACAGAGAGAGAGAGAGAGAGAGAGAGAGAGAGAGAGAGAGAGAGAGAGAGAGAGAGAGAGAGAGAGAGAGAGAGTAGTTTTTGACAGATGTATGTCTTTCATAGACCAGGACGAGACTTGATGCCTTGACGATGATAGCAGAAGCAAACATGGAACAGAGAATGTTATATCCACTATCTTGTTGTGCTATTATGTGTCACATAGGGCTCTTAGTATATTCCTCCTTTCCGTTATATACTGTGCTATCAGTTCCATATAATTGAAAGGATAGGCCTAGCAAGCCGGCAATAGATTTAATACCGCTACAACAAGTACAATGAGATATGAGCAGACTGATCAAACGGAATGAATCAGGACCTTCTATATCTCTTGACACCCGAATCCACAAAGGAGAACGTGGAGAAGAAATGAAGAACTACAGTAAAACGTTACATGCATCTTTTTGATCCAGTGCCGTCACCATATATTTCGCTTATTTGAAACATTTTAAACACCTCATATACAAAGTAGGTCAGGGTCGCGGCATTTTCTCAAGTTTTTTTTTTTTGGTCGGTAACTTCCTAAGTCTCTGGGTAAAAGTCGACGTTTTCTCCCCTGGTAATGCGACAGGGATGTCTTTTGTCGCTGCTGATTCCGCGAATGATACAGACGTGAAATATCATCAGCGAAGTGCAGATCATCAAGCTATTTTGTAGGGGTCCAATGAATTTCATTCTTGGTGTTAGCAGTTACTGTTTTTATAACCCAGTCTAAAGCCAGTAAAAATAAGAGAGGCGACAGTAGTGGGGTAGCGTAATTGAGGTATTATTTGGCCTAAGCCGCCTTCTTTATCCTTCTTTACGGACGCAGCAACCGTTGGTTGGGGCACAGCCCCTGCATCCGTCTCGAAATAGAGGGCTAGTAGGTCGGACAGCCCGTTGACAACCGTTGATGAACCAGCCTTCAGAAGGGACAAATAGTTTGTAAGATAGCTTCTGTGACAGCTAGTTGATAAAACTTGTATGTGTAAAGAACTCAAGGCGCCTCTTGGAGATGCTCGGAGGCAAAAGATAGTCGCCCCCTCTATTTTTCTAAATCGTCCCTTTCACTTTATGAAAATTTGCATAGTCATGTATGGTACCACCCTGGAGGCGACTATAGGAAACAACTTCGATGGCCAGTTCGTCAGTGGGACGCTTTGTTTATTAGCCGGAGACGACAGCCTTCTTGAAGAACCCTCAAAAAGCTTTGTATGTTTACAGTAAGACAACCTTTCCTGTAGCACAACCTGGTAGACGATCCAGATAATAGGCTTGGACATCTAGCTTCAAGGGCGACTAGTTGGTTATCTGCGTTTTGTACAAATACAGTAGAAGGAAAAGACACTACTTCTAACCGTTGTCTCTTATTTTCTACACGTTACCCTCGGGTTTCTAAAAAGTATCCCTCTGGGTTTCTAAAGTCGCCTTCTGGGTTGTAAAAAGATGCCTTCTGGGTTCTTGAAGTGGCCTTCTGGCTTCTAAAAAAGCTGCCTTGTGTTTTCTGAAAGCCACTGTGTGTCCGAGTCGTCAGGGACAGCTGGTGAAAAATGTGTGTCATATCTTGTGTGATTCAAGATGTATCAAAGGACCAAGACATCAAGTGTTTCCCCAACAGAAAAGACATCTTAGCGACTCGCATAGCACCAATGTTAATTAATGACTTACCAAGAGAGGTTAGTGAACGAGTGACTAACGTTGTCCTACGACGCGCCGACACCGCCGAAGACGAGCAAATTAGGAGGAAGACAACTGCAAAGACGACGAGTCTCCTGTTTTCCTAAAGTCGCATCGTGTCCGAGGCAGCGGGACAGTTAGTAAAAAACCTTGGGTTATGCAGTCGACGACGAAGACGACATTAGAGGCGACGATGACGCCGAAGACGACGACCCGCCGAAGTCAACAAGGAAGACGACAACGAGGACGCTGACAACGCCGGAAGCAACGAGGAAGACTTAAGTGACCTAAGATGTCTCGTCAAGAAAAATATCGGGTAGTTACTGGGTCCCAGGGGCAGTGCACTACTTACTAAGAACCGTCGGCAACTGACTTGACAATACCAGTGAAAGACATGCTCTGTCTCTTGCGTGCTTTGTGGTGTCCCGTAGAGAAAACCATCGAGTGATTTGCTGTGTCAGAAGGACAGTTAGCTACTTAATAGGAACCTTAGGTGACGACTTGTCAAGACCAGTGAAAGATATGCTCTTTCTCTTCCGTGGCTTACGGTGTCCTATGAAGAAAAACATCGGGTGACTTTTGTGCGCCAAGGATAGTGATCGGGTTACCCGGCGTCTTCTGTTATCGCCCTGTGAAGACCCGTGAAAGACATGCGATGTATCGTGCGTCCTTTACGTTATCCGTCGAGAAAGATATAGCGCCTTTTTTTTTTTTTTTTTGGTACCCAAAATTGCCCCAGCTCCCCTTTGCCCCAAGGATAGTGATCGGGTTATCCGGCGTCTTCAGTTATTGCCTTGTAAAGACCAGTGAAAGACATGTAACGTCTCGTGTGTGGTTTACGCTGTCTGTCGAGAAAGACATAGCGCCCTTTTGGCACCTAAAATTACCCCAGCTTACCTTCGTCGCCTGGTAGCGCCGCCTCTGACCTACAATGTAAACCCTTTATGAGCGGTGATATCTAACACTATGACACAACAGTTCTCCTTTTTACCTTTTTTTTCAACTACAGCTCAACCATAATATGTACGGCCAGAACCCGACACTTTGCCACACCTGTGGTCCTTTTGTTATTTTTCCCCACTACAATTTAAACTACGGATGAGTGGCCGCCTCCCATAATATGTTACAAAAGTCGCCATTCTGTTAACGCTTTCGTTTTTACTGCAACTAAACCCTCCCTAACCTATCAATATCTAACACTATGAAAGACACACGCCAAATGTCGTATGTTTTTCTTTTTTACTACAGCTTAAACTGCGCGGCCGGCATTCCTTATTATTGTTGACATAAAAGTTGCCATTTTACCATAAATTCCCATTTTTACCTAAAATCAAAACCTCAGTGATCGGTTGGCATTCGCTGCTATGACACAAAAGTCGCCGTTTTGCCATAATGTCCCCTTTTTACTTCAACTCAAACCCTTC